AGGCCTCCACGCCCAGTGTCCCGCACGGGAGGCCGCCGCTGCCGCACAGCTGTCCCGGCCAGGGGAGAGCGAGTCTGACGCTGGCGCTTCCGGCTCCGAAGGGAGAGAGAAATGTTAGAACAACGTGGAGAATACTAGTGGAGCCTTGGCCACTAGACGTTTTCATAAATGTATTCCTTTGCTTCATTGACATCTTTTACAAATAATATTTATAACGTTTTGTTTTATTCAATGACATATTAAATTAAGGTGACTTACATTTGAGTTATCTAAGTGTTAATCAAAACCAAATAGGCACCAATATAACTCACACATCCTGGTGCGTTCCTCAGCCTGAGTGGTCCTTTCTGCGCTCATGTTCCAGCGCTTGGCAGGTCAGTCCTCCTTGCTATTCCATAAAACTGGCCATGTCAGACCCAAATTCGAATCACAGGACCCTTTCCAAGTGCAGAATGAAAGCACTGAAGTGTTTTGCCTTTTTTCTTTTAAGGCAACAGAGTAGCCACAACAAATGACAGAGCACATTTATTGTCAAACTCCAGACCATGAAGTGGAAAAACTCGGAGTTATGGTTAAGCCCCATCTTGCTCTACTGTTCCTTCTGATTAATTTCATAACTGTGGGTCCTCTCCTGTGATTCTTTGTCTGAATAGTAAAAAACAACAGATACTGTGCAATAACTGTGCAATTATGACTGTTTTATGCTTGCATTTTAAAATTAAAAAAGAAACTTGAACATGATTCCCAATAAAGATAACTTTTAAAAATTCCTGAGTTTACTAACTTCATTTTTTCTTAACCAAACAAATCTAAAAACCCTCATTTAATCTCAAATGCTGCAGAGTGCTAATGGTTAGATAGGCTATCATAGACATCCATAATATTTTGTGCACGTGAGTTACAAGAGTAAGGACGTAGATGGTAATGATTCGTCTATCCATGTCACCTGGAGTGTGACCCCATGAGGAGTTAGAAAAGGCAGCTGCCTGCAGGCATGGTTTGGAAAACCCTACAGGTACCCCAAAGTTAGGTTCCCAACAGCTAACAGTTCCTGGCATCTGCCGTGATCTGCCCTCATTAGGTCAGCTGAGGCTCTCATGAAAGGTATCCATTTCGTCTTATAGGAGCGTTGTGCCCTTATCAATTAAAAAATAGGACAAATGAGTCAACTTATTAAAGTAGTGCCTACTGGTCTAGCCCATAATACAATTAGAACCTGAGTGGATCATGTTTGATGAAGGCACAGCAGAAAGTCGAGAAGTGCAGGAAGCCAAGGGGCCTGTCCCGGTTCCTGAGCCTGCAGCGCAGCCACACCTGCCGTCTGCCCTTGCCTGCGCCTGCCCGCAGACGAGCCAGCCCGCCCCCAGGGAGCCCTCGCGGTCTGGTGAACCGCCTGTCCCGCCCTATCCGCATCAGGGAACGTGCCACATGGAGGTAAGGTTATTAACTTGTCTTCCCGACAGACCGGGTCCCTCCAGGGCAGGGAAGATAGAGAGCATCTTTCATCCTAACCCTCAGGGCCCGCTGGCGAGGAAGCTGAGGGCCGCGGACCGCCGGCCTTAGTGTGACCCTCACCTGCCGCCCACTCCCCTGGGGCACGTGGCCTGTACTCGCTCAGAGAGGAAAATAGGCCCCAAAGACAGACTTCTCTGGGGAAATTGAGGGGAAGGAGAGAGAATTAGAAGGCAGATATATTCTGACAAGTAGACATGAAAGATTTGAGTGCCGATGGGTGCTTCATCCTGTGATGCCGAGCGGGGCGGGGCAGGAAGGGAGGAACTTCCCCAAATCTGTTTCTCTAGTTGGTGCCCTTGGTTTAAAGCAGGTGCGGATGCACAGTGAGCGGTTTGTTTTCGCACCTGGAGCAGAAAACGCCTCGGCCTGCGCTGTCCCTTTCCTGGCTCCCCTGCCCTGTTCGCGAGGGCAGATTTTGTGGTGGCCTACATTTTGGCCAACTCTAGGACAAGCACAGTTGAAAAGCGGTTGCCATGTTGAGTATTTACTTTTAAAATGTTCCAAGTCAACTAGAAGCAGTCCCCAAGCAGGGTTATAGCTCAGTTCCCATGAGAATCCTGGACAGCTGTCGCGGCACATCCCAGCAAAACAGTGCCACCAATTATACTTCTAACTTCCCAGTATTCGTTATGATGATAATCATCTTGTGTCCTTATACCTCACATTTGTTCAGCAGAGATTTTGAGTAGCGGATTGCTATTCTTAGTTAAGAGAGAAGGTAAAAATTAATGTTTCCCACCTACTTTTTCTACATCATTGGTGTTCTCTTTTTGTACTTGTTCTATTTCTGATCCTATTTTTCTTCTAAGGTTAATCTCTGAACTTTTTGAAAGCAAAAGAAGAGAAACTGAGATTCTGTAAAAAGAAATGAATACCTTTTTCTCTCTAAGTGTGACATCAACAGGTTTACAAACAGTAGCTGAATCCTGGTCCCTGGACGACAAAGTTCTGAGGATGGAGCCTGTGCAAAAAAATCCGACATCTAACAGCCCTCATTAATTATCAAACCCTGAAGATTTCATATCCATTATGAATTTTTATTTGCCATTATCTAGTAAAGTAGTGAAAGATTAGTACTAACCTGAACTGTATCAAGAGTTGGAAGCTAGCTGATTCTACTAGTGGGAATCTGCATGAACACTATTTTTAGAGCTGTAGGCACTAAGAGAAGTGGATAACTTGTGCAGAAGTGGATAACTTGTGCAGAACTTCTTGTGTACCCTTCTGTACTCTTTCCTTCAGTGGATTTGACCAAGATTGGTTTGGGACAGCAGAAAGACACCTGGCTAAAGGTGTCACAGCTATCTTTGGTTGCCCTGGTCCCTGGGCATTCTCATACCATTACAGAATGGTTTTTCCTTTTATGACCTTCAAGCTTTGAGCAGGTGTTTGTTAAGGTGCCATCCCGAATGGTTGCATGCCATCTCTGCACAGTTTGGAAGGTACTTACACCCACAGTCCTGGCTAGTTTGGACCACACAGTTGTGAATGTGAGCCTAGGCCCACTTAGAATAAATCCCATCAAAGGCACATGACTGCATGATTTATTAGTGTTTCTTTGTGTAAGAGGAGGGATCTTAGCAAGTTTAACTTTTGCCTAAAACATTCAGGCTCCAGGATCTAGGTAACTAGATGGGCTGTAAGGCCCAGTGGTTCAGATCCCACATCCCAGGGCCAGGCTGCCTGCCCTTGAGATCTCCTTTCACAGTTTATTAGCTGTGCGTCCTTGGGCACGGAATTTCAGTTCTCTGGTGTCAGTTTCCTCCTCTGTAAAATAATGCTTACTTACCAGTGCCAGGAACTATTTAAATGTTAGCTGCTGCTATTAGTACTAGTATTATCATGTCCATTAAAGCCCAGAGGTGGAAGTAGTCAATTCCAAAGTGTTCTGTTTCTCTTTTTTAAAAGTAAGGCATGGTACAACAAAATGTCATTTGCAAAGTTTACAAAAATGATCCACTACTGTCTCTTGAAACTAAAATGTTAACTTTTGTTGAGAAAGCACTAGGAACACTCACTCTTAGCATGACTTTACTAAATTTCTAAGTGCCTGAACTGATGATTTCATATTCAGAAAATGTTATTTTTTTTCTCAAACTAAGGTTTTTACAGGGTTGAGAGAGACGTGGGAGTGAAATCATTAGCCTAGAGAGTAGGTTTAAGGGATGGTAATCTTCTGATAGAATTCTGAGAGTTGGTTTTTCCGGTATAGAGTCACACTCATTTTGATATAAATCTTGCTGTGGCCCAAAGCCATGTTTGGGCAGGCAGCTTGTGTGAATAGCGAGAGGGAGGATCCTCCAAGGCCTTGCTGATGACACAGGCACGGTCCCCGTCCTGTCCTCCTAGCCGTGAACTTCATGGAGTTGGATGAAGTTTCATACCAGTTAATGGCATGGCTTGGAAATTGTATTTTTTCCTTCAATTTCTAGTGTGTATTTGTCAGGATTCTGAGACTTGTGCTGTAGGAAAAGGCTCCCCTCATGTTCCTCTTGGGAGATATGTGTGGGGAAGAAGCTGAATCTTCAGGGGCTTTCTTTGTTTTTGTTTGTTTGTTTTGGGTTTTTTTGCACACACAGCTGTAGGAGCCTGGAGCTTTGGAGTTTTTAAAAAATGAAAGAGAACCCCCGGGGGTGGGGGGTATAGTGTGGTGTTCTAGAAAGGACCAGGAAACGTGGAGATCTAGAAAGTACCCAGGAGCAAGGGAGAGGGGGAAAGTTGGGAAAAGTTTTAACTTTCGAGTTAAAATCTCTTGGGTGTAGGAGAGGAGTGAAGCCAGCCTTAGCTTTGGAGAGGCGGCTGGAGAAAGACTGCAAAGAAAGCCAGCCTCCCGGCGGTCTGTTTGCATCTGAGCAGGCAGCCCTCAGACTGGAGATTTGAGGGAAAGCACACATAAATGTTTTAAAAGGCTAGGGCCTGCTGCGGTATGCTTCAGTGGCATGCTGTACTTGCTTCCTGACAACTTTAATCAACGTTTGGATTTACTTATTTAATGTTTTCCCCATGGCCCTCTAAGCTCCACAGAAGAAGGGACCACTCTGTCTTTGTTGGCACTGTGTCCCCAGCTCATGAACCGTCTGGAATCTAGAGTACCCGGCGGCGTCTGTTAGAGAGCAGGAGAGGTAGGCGCGGGCCAGTTCTCACGGCCCCTGGGAGGCAGGTGTCGTCTCTGTCATTCTATCATTTTAGATTTTCAGCTTTGCATCTGCTCCTTGCTGGGACCATGCATGCCAAGCCCTGCTCCGCGGAGCTTGCAGTCTCGCGCAGGACGTGGCGGCGGTCTTCGCGCTGTGAGGCCGGGCGGGGCGGGCGGGTTCTCCGTGCGCGCGGCGAGGCAGGGGTACTGGCCGCGGGAGCTGAGCCACGTGAAGGACCCGAGCCACGCAGGGACCCGCTTTTAAGGACAGACAGGTGGAAGCAGGAGAGCAGCGTAGGCAGGGGTGGCGTGGCGTGGGCGGCTGCGTTGAGTGCAAAGGGAGCCGCGCTTAGGCGACCAAGTGGCCCGGGCGCGGAGAGCCCTGAGGCCGGGCAGAGCCGACTGCAGCTTTCCCGCGGTCCGCGCCTGCCCCCGCGTCACCGGCTTCCCGCGGCAGGTCCCCGCGGCTCCTCTTGCCCCTCTGCCCGGGACAGTCTCGTCTGTCAACACCACGCAGCAGGAACGGGACTCGCTGCTTCCCGCGCTGCGCTTCGCCGGGGCTCGGCAGCCACCTGCGTCTCGCCTGCCGGCTCCGCGGCCTCGCCCTGCCCTGCGCGCCCGCCGGCCTCGGCGCCCGGCCTCGCCCTGCCCTGCGCGCCCGCCGGCCTCGGCGCACAGAGCAGGCCTCGGTCACTGCTGTGCGGACACAGCGTTGAGGAGCCCGGATCTCTCTGCCTCGTGGGAAGCATGATGGGGACCGTCGTCCCCGCTGCTCCCTGTTTGAGAAGAGGAAACAAGAAAAGGCTGGCAAGTCAGGACCTAGCCTTAGGGGAAAAAAGGCTTTCTCCTTTATCGTAATAAAGTGGCAGAGCCTTTCGCCAAAGTATTAACAAACTACATTAGAATTTAAAGGCAAATTTTTAAAGCAATTTAATATTTGCTCTGAGGCGAGCGTTACCTCACAGGTCGCTTGGCGGCCGGCAGAATACCAGGTGACCACGTGAACGCAGGTGGCTGATAAGAATGTTCTGTCTCTTGCTCTCGCCTCTAGAGGGTTGTCGGCACATGGTAGCGCCTGGTTCCTTTTGTGCGATTTATTCTGATGTGATTTTACATTGCAGAGGCGTGACATCATGGAAAGCCACAAGTGAGAATACCTGTTTTCTTCTGGCACTAAGCAGGCATATGATTTTGGGCAAATCATTTAAGCCCCAAGCCTCTGGGTTTTCTTTTTTCCCTCAATCTATTATATAAAATGAAGACTGTACCCAGCAGCTGCCCTGGCGCTACTGAATGCCGACCACTGCTCGTCCCTGAAGAATTGGGTCGTGCCCATTCTCACCTGTGTTCACCACCTGCGGTTGTTAAACTCGAAGCTAATCCTTCCTGGAAAAAGAGAGAAACTGAAACTTTCCTCTCTGGCAGGGCATTCTGAGGACAAATGTTTTCTAGAAATATTAACATATTTATCAGTGAAGGATCTCCAATTTTGAGTAAACTAAACCATCTTATGAGTAACATAAAACACAGAAAACACACTGGGTACAATGAGAAGAAGAAAAAGCTATAGGCCAACCTCCACAACATTGTCCAGGGACTGTGGAGACCCTGGAATTTGCCTTACAGAACAGGGGAAGCATTAAGCTTTCGACACGCCTTTCTCGCCAAGCTTAATCATTTCTAGTGTTTGATTTAAAGTGAAAAATATGTTGACCCTTCTTTTTGCTTGAACACTTAGAGGCCATTGTTGGGCTTTGAACCGGCCTAATTTCAATATTGTTGTGTCTCAGGGAGTAGTGAGGCCCAAAGAAGGGGGAGAGACTGGGCACAGCCCGCTGGTGGGGCAGGAAGAATACACACAAGCTTGATTAAGTTCACTGTCTTAGAGGGATGTACTTCTTGGTGACCCCAAACAATTACAATAGTAACATCAAAGGTCACGGATCACCGTAACAGATATAATAATAATAAAGTTGAAATATTGTAAGAATTACCAAACTGTGACACAGAGACACAAAGTGAGCACATGCTTTTGGAAAAATGGCACTAGTAGACTTGCTCCATGCAGGGTTGCCAGAAACCTTCAAGTTGTAAAAAATGCAATAGCTGCGAAGCACACACAACAAAGTGAAGTGCAATAAAATGAGATCTCTGTACATTTATTAATGATAGTTATTGTGTTAACCATAATAATAAAATTCCACTTTGTTCCTTTGAAATACGCTTTAAACATGCATGTCCTCAAGCACCATCTAATGAATTCGTTCTTTGGCCTGTACAAACAACCAGCATTATGTTGTTTGTATTAAAACCAAAACAGTGGAATCTGGATTTAAAGTGCGGGTGGGTTTAGCAGAGTATAAAGTAATATGATCAAGTACATGCTACAAACAGATTGTTTTGTGTAAAGTACTTAATTCCACTAAACGTCTTGATGGTAAGCCCGGGCTTTTCACTGGAGAATATTTGCCTGAGAGAAATGTATGATCGGTGACGTTTGAAATGTGCCTTGGTTGTTCATTTATAATTTTATGATCATAGAAACATTATATTTGGGGGTATTTAAGTTATTCCAAGAAGTAAAAAATATATATGAAGATAGTTTAATATTAATAGTAATATATTTTCTACTAAAAAGAGAGGTTAAATGAAACATTTTGTGTTTTTAATTGTTTTAGATAGTAAAACATATTTTCTTCTACATGTATCATTCTATGCTATGAAATTTGGAACATTGTAAAGGGAAGCAATGCAGAATAATGGTGTCTAACTGCAGAAAAAAATTCTGTGCCTCCTAAAATGTGCACCTCTGATGAACAAGCATACATTAATATGGGCTCGGACATTCTTTTACATTTTATTCCTGAAGCATACTGTACTTGTTTTTTACAATATTGATGCAAAATTAGGAGCAATGCTCATATAAAAAGAGACGGAAGATGCTAAGATTGACAATAATGAGAGGGGTACACCAACCAGGCCATCCAACTGTCGTATTTTCTATGTAATATTTATGAACTGTCTAAAGGCCCCAAGGTTACTTTGCTGCTTCCTGTGCTTTTGCATTGCCCTTATAACAAATGTGAAAGAAGCAGACCAAATCCATGACTGAGATTCTAGTATGAGTGTATTATGCTGATCTGTGTTAAGAATTCACAAAAATAATAAAAAAGCATAATTTATCAAGGAGAAATAGTTTTTGACTGGTAGCATACACAGTTTGGCTCCTTAGTGTTTTTACATGGATTTTGCACATATTAGCAAATATGAAAGTGATGTCTCATTGAAACATCTTCTCAGGAGTTGACAGAGAAGGTAAAATTATTTATCAAATATGTCCACTTCTTGCTAGAAAAAAAGGAAAGTCTTTTAGTGCTTTCGTTCTCATAACACTTTATAGTTTGTTTAAACTAAAAGTATGTTGACCAGAGATTTCTGAGTATTTATATTATGCCATAATCTATTAAAAAATGCCTGATAATTTACATTTTTAATTGATTTTTTGAGACAGAAAATATTTATTCAGAATTTGTTTATCTTTCAGAAAAGAGAGGCAGTCATTACTTTAAAATTGCAAGAACTGAACCTCTAGATCTATCTAAAAAGCACAATTTTAGCACTACTGATTTAAAATGTTTCAATTCCATTTTTAACAATTCTTTCCCAATGAGATTCCTTCTAAACCTTACTAAACATACCGTCGATTGTTTTGTGGCGATGCTAGTGTTAGGAACTCAACTATTTTGCTAATTAAGCTCCTTTAGTTCAGAATTCCTATTACGTATGGCATTTCTCCTGGTTACATAGAAATCTCCTTCTGCCACGTTCGGATGTGTATGTTTCAGTAATGGCTTTCCATTAGTTTACCCTCTTTTATGCATATCAAAGATAGTAGAGTATATTTCTATATGATGTGGTTATAATAATGCATAAATAGGAAAAAACCTGAAGTTCAGAGTATCCCATCCCATTATCTTTTTGACTTCTGACTCCATACTGCTTGGGTGAACTCCACTAAGTTTTATAGGAATAAGAATGTTCCAGGAGGCTAATCAAAAGCATCTAGCAGGGATAAGTTATTCAGTTTTTGTTCTATTACATATATCTTCCCTAAGGACAACTATTCTAAACCACTTTATTCTCTATTAGTAACAACATTACGCATTATTGGACTCCGCAACATGAGGAGATTTTCTGCAATGTCCCGTGGTTCCTGGCGTTTCAGGCTGGGCACACATCACGTGAATGTCCTACGGCACTTCCCTGTGTGAAGTTAGTGCTGTGCACAGCTACGTGGCAGCAGCTGAGGCACCAGCTACTCATGGCTGAAGAACTCATTTTGGGGCAGAAGAAACTGGAATCCAATGATCTCCAACTTAAACCTACACTAATTTTAAACTTATCTTGACATTTTTTACCCAAGAGGAAACTATACCCATTATAATACAATACTGCATTTTTTAACTTAAAATTTATAAAATTACATATGTGTCCGGGTACTGCCCATTGCCGAACCATCAGCCACTGCAAATCCAAGAATGCTGTACCCTTTGTTATAAATCAATTTGCTCTATTAATATTAAAATCTCAGATTGTCCTGCTTCTTAAATTGTGTACAGAGAGAATGTTCAGTAAGGAAATTGTATGACATATTCGGGACATTTGTAAACCACTGAAGTGAATTTTCTGCTTGTAAAGGAAATTTTATGGGGTAGGGTTATTTTAAAGCCCCAGAAGTTTGTTGGGTGATCTTGGCTACATATGCTACCAGACATACAGCATGTCTTAAAGACGTTAGCTGGAAATTCTTCAGTCTATGGGAGCACAGTCTATGCGTAAGCACATGCTAGAGAGATTATTTGGCATCATTCGATGTATGTGAAAGAGATTGAGAACCATAGGTCAATATTCTCATGTAGGACAATTTATTCAAGAACTATCTGAGCAGTGAGCACTGCGAGCCCTACGCTGTAGCAAGAACGAGGGAGGAAGCCACGAGTAAGTGTGTAGGGAGCCAGTGGTCTACAGAGAGTGAGAGTAGGCCCACTGAGGCCGCGACGAGTCCTGCAGGAGAAGGGCCTTGCGGGAGCAGCACCGTGCCCAGATGTGGCAGGGCACAGCACCTCTCTTTTTCGGCTCTGGAGCACGGTGGCTAACTCTTTGACCTTCGTGCCCTACAGCACTGGAGCTGAGCCTCTCTCCTGGAAGCTGGAGGTGCCCTGACTGCTTTAACCCACAGGGTGAGGGGAAGCCCGCAGGCGGGCGGCACCGCCCTTGTGCTGGAGGGCTTGCTTCTGGAGCCCGGCCCAGCCTCCTGACGCCATGGGTGGGAATGCCCGGCAACGGTCCCCTGAGGTCAGCCCTTTCTCTTATCATCTGAGACCCCAGACACCAATGAGCAAAGACAAGCGCACCGAATTTCTGATCCACACTGTGGTTCTCCATGTAGCGGTAGATAACTGGGACGCGCTTGGTGAGGAGGTGGCAGCTCCGGATGTGCTGGAAGTGACCAAGCAGGAGAGAGGGAAGGCTAGCGGGGGCAATGAGCCTCCACACACATGCACCTCTGTTCCAGGAGGGCTGTTGTTCTTGCTCTGAGTTGGATTTGACATCAGAAGATAGTATCTGAAAATGGAGATTTAAAAGCAAGAAGCAACGAGTTTCTGAGCCCACGTGAGCAGCAGACAGCAGGCGCCCTGCCTGGCGGGACCCCCCACGTCTGCCCTCTGCCAACACGTTTTTTCTGGCCCTTTCCTGTCTCTGGAGGGTGAGGATCCTAAGGGACATATTTTGTGTGACTATAACTATATGCCACTAAACAGAAGTGGGAGCTTCCACTAAGAAGGAGGGATGAGTAGAAGACAATAAGTGAGAATCAGAAGAAATGTACAGTGAACCAATGCAAGATACTGAATGATATGTAACTGGAGGAAGAGTCATAGGGAAGCAGATGTGACCCCAGAATGGGTGTGTCCCAGTGGATCTTGCCGTTCTGACTGGCTGTGACGTTGCAGTCCAGGGCCATCTGCATCAGTAGCCCTTCTGTGGTGGCCCAGAAGGTGTGCACATGTTGTTTAACACTTTTCGACATGTGGTTGAAAACAGCAGATCAAGGCCACATGCACGTACGTGGCCAGGCATCTACACAGGGCTCGCTGAGGAGAGGTTGCATCTTTCTCTTTCCACGCTCCTAAGACAGGAAACACCCTTTTGATGTATAGAGGTCTCCTTTCCACAGTGTATTTAACCTACATGTTCTAGACCCCTAAGTGCTTATAATCTCCAAAATTCATATTTTGAATTCCTAACCCCCCTTGTGATGGTTTCAGGAGGTGGGCCTTTGGGAAATGGTCAGGTCATGAGGACAAAGCCCTCAGAAGTAGTATTAGTGCCCTTATAAAATAGATCCCAGAAGGCTCCCTTGGCCTTTCATTATGTGAAGATGCAGAGGAGATGTTGTTTATAAGCCACCCAATTTATGGTGATTTGTTACATCCTCACACCTGATTTTTAAGGGTTTATCAGTTTAGGATAAATGGGAATGCATACATTCTCCTAGAATGTTATTTCTTCACCTGAGGTCCTTGGAATCATGGAGATTGACACATGTATTCTCGGTGTCTGAGAATTTTCTTGGAGAAAATATATATTATTTTCACTTTGACGGCATTCCAAGCTATCCACCTTAGTGTTTCTTAGGCTTCATTGTGCATGCAGATTCCTGGGCAGTCTCGCTATAAAGCATGTCTAGATCAGTCAGTCTCAGGGGTCCTGAGCTCCTGCATTTCCAGCGAGCTCTCTGGCGATGACAATGATATGAATCTGGGGACAGTGCTGTGATAGGCGAGGCATGAGATGCCACCTTGCAGCCCACAGCTGCCTGGTGACAGCACCGCCTGCCTTGTGTTTGTGCACGATCACACTTGATCCAAGTTGCACAGCTGTAATGATCACAGCCGAATAAATGAGGTCAGACAGCCAACTGTTATCTGGGAGCCTTCTGGCTGCCGGTGACAAGCACCCCTGTCAAAGCAAAACACACAAGATGGAATTTTTGGTACACATATTTGGTTGACCAGAACTTGGAGCTCTATGCCATCAGCACTGTCCATCTCTGCTTGTCCTGCTGCCAGGGCCTCACTTCTCTGGGCACATGACTTTCTCCAGGTAATGGGCAGGTGGCCACGGGTGGCCCCAGATCCACCCCCACCCCCCACATTGCTGGGCTCTGCCGTCTCCATTGGGCCTGCTTTGATTCCTTTCCTCACTCTGACTGCCAGAGGCCCCCTACGTCTGGGATTTTGTGAGAAGCCATTTGGGTTAGATAGCAGTTCTCTCTC